AAATTACAAGTTTGAAAGCTGCCTGTCCAGCACATGATGACAAATCCATGATCCTTTTTTTTTTTAAAAAAGCTTTCATCCTCCATATTGAAGTCTATTTTTGAACCAATAGATTCTATTCATATTTTTTATTAACCCCCCCCCAAAAAAAACTTGCCATTTTTAATAGATGGAAAATGTTTAGTAGAGCTTAAACAAATAGAGCCAGCACTGTAAAATATTAAATAATAGGACAAAGAGCTAAGAAAATGATCCTTAATCAGAGAACAAGTTCTTGTAAGACCTTTTTTTTCTTTAAAACATTGGATAATATTAACTTTGAGAGTTAGTTTCTAAATAAATTTGAGATTTGCATCATAAGAAGGAAATATTATTTTAAATCTATTTCTACTACCTCTTTGAGTATTTGACTAAAAAAAAAATTGGGAAAAGGTATCCCAAACTCTAATTTCTCTCCTTTATTTTTGTCCTTGCAATATTTTGATTTCAAGCCAAAGCAATAATTATTATTTATGTCTCCAAAGATACAAAGTTTTTTATCAATTCCAAAATGATATACTTTTCCTTCTTCATGCAGTTATCTCTTACCAAATAGCATTAAAACTATAACAAGAAGTCCTACATTCCATTTTTGGGGTACTTCGGGTGAACCACAATGTTGACATGCAAATTCTGTTTTGAAGTTAAAAAGTATTAAAATGTAGAAATTGCCATTAATTTATTGTATTTATTTTTTTAAAAATCTCCCAGTGTTTTCAAAATATTAATTGCACTACAATCATTGTAAGTTAGCCAGACTCATAGTGAGACAGATGGCATATAAATTTATTCATTTGTTCAATCAATGAATGAATCGCAGTATACTGCTTGCACCAAGAAGTAAACAATATAAAGTGTTTTTCCTCTCCTACAGCCTTTGTGCTGTGATGGCATAGTGCTAAAATACTTCTAGTTGCAAAATGCAAATTATGGATATCAAGAGGTGCTTGCACTTGAGATAGATGAAAGTAGCATATGTCATTTAATACTTTAGGCATAATCTAAAAGGTTTATGTTCTGGTATTGCTACTATTTGAGATTTTTTTTTAATTTGCTGCTGCAAGTCAATTAGTTTTCTTAGATGACAGCTGTAGCTGCAGTGGAGTACTGGTATATAAATAATGATGTGATTGAACAAATATCAGTAAATATGCATTATCCGCAAATGGTGTGTATAGCTGGGAATATTTGAGGGGAAAGGCTGAGATAATATTTTAAAACATGGGAACCAGTTTAATTTGCTTTACAGAGAAACATGTACATATAGTTTAGTTACAAATTATATCTAATGTGAGATTATGAGATTGCATGTAGTTGTTTATGCTAGAAATGATAGCAGATATTAATCAAATTTTGGCCTCTTTATATAATTACAATGACTCAATTTTCCAAGTTTGAAAATAAATTTAATGAAGCAGATAAAAATATACAGAGATATATATCAATAAATATATTGAATCCAAGGGGGTGGGGAACAGACATACCATTGAAGAAATTCACTCCTAGTTTGCTGCTCCTATGATTTCATTCACTTTATATAATATTACAAACATGTTTATTACATGGAAAATGGCTAAACATAGGATAAAACAGGCAGCTATATACTTTTTACCATGAATCTTTTTGAGGGTAGTAAAATAGTAGTAAATATGTTTTTATATCCCTTTGTATCATAACTTTGTGTTTAATGAGTCATTTTCAATTTCTTTTTTGCATTAAAACTTACTGCTACTAATGTAGCAGGCTGTGCCCCAGAAACCTTTTGAGCACAATATATTAAGTATGTGGATCTATTGCAGCAGAAGACCTGGAATTTACTTCTGGTTGCATTTATATTTGCTGTTACTTTCAGCTCTTTATTTTTCAGTAATGAAGTACTCAGGATTATGAATGTAATTTTGTTATCTTTGTAATTTTTGCAGGTTTTTGTAAAACATATTTTTTTTAAAAAAAATGGTGCAAAATCTTCCAACAATCAAGCACTGGGATCTTTTCAGTTTTGGCTTTGCAGAAGAAAAACAAAATAGGAGCAGCTGTGAGGCTCTGCATAGCAAGTAGCTTCTAAGCTACATGACAGCTTCTGGATTTCAGCCCCATTGGGAAATACACAGTCTCCTGGTTTATTACATGGCAGGCAGTCCATGGTCTGATGAAAGAATCAACTTTGGAAAGACAGGATTGGAGTCGGTAAATTGCTTGCAGTGAAGGTGACAAAATTCCTTGGAAATACGGCTATTGGATAAGATGACTTCTACATACACTTGGATACTGACTTCTCCATATATGCTGGAATATTGATTAAATCTTGCTGGATTTGTGGATCTTTTAAAAAGGTCTTCTAAGTAGTTTATGGACCTTCCTACATTTGTGTATTTTCCACCCATCCCCAGCTTCTTTTCATCTTGTCAACATGGATTTTTAATATTAATATATTTGCTGATTCACTCTTAGTCTTCACTTTGAGAAGCAGATGACTGAATAACTTTTTATCAGTGCCTTTTATTTTTTAAACTTTTTTTACAGTTCAAATAAAATTGCACATTTGTTGGTGCTTTATCTTTCCTTTCTTCCATTATTTTTATCTTTATTATTGAAAAAGAACAAATTTTCATCTTGGCTGAAAAGCCTGAGCCTTTCCTACTGGGGGAAGGCGGCCACATTATTTTTCCCCAGAACCTGGAAAGCAAGAATTAAGTATCTGTTGTGAGTGGTCACTGGAAAGATTTTACCCTGTCTGCTTCAACGCCCCCACCACCACTCCCCCCTCCTCTTCCCCCTCTCCCCCACCCCACCCCACCAAGAATGGGGCCTGTGCTCCTTCGGCGTGGAGGCTGCCTCCTACTTTGGATGGCACTGCTCCTGGGATGTTGGGCTGAGCTTGGCAGTGGCTTGGAGTTCCCAGGAGCAGAGGGCCAGTGGACTCGCTTCCCCAAATGGAATGCCTGCTGTGAAAGCGAGATGAGCTTTAACATGAAAACCCGCAGTTCCAGTGGGCTGGTCCTTTACTTTGATGACGAGGGCTTCTGCGACTTCTTGGAGTTAATTCTGACACAAGGTGGGCGGCTCCAGCTAAGTTTCTCCATCTTCTGTGCTGAGCCTGCCATCTTGCTCTCTGACATGGCTGTCAATGACAACCTGTGGCACACTGTGGTCATTCGCCGCAATTTTAAGAATACAACACTATTAATTGATCAGGCTGAGGCTAAATGGGTAGAAGTGAAGTCTAAGCGGCGGGACATGACGGTCTTCAGTGGTCTCTTTCTAGGAGGCTTGCCTCCAGAGTTACGTTCACCTACCCTGAAAGTAACACTCTCCTCAGTGAAGGATAGGGAACCTTTCAAAGGATGGATAACAGATGTAAGAGTCAATTATACACAGTCTTCACCTTTGGAGAGTCAAGAAGTACGTCTGGATGATGAACAGAGCCACTTATGTGCTAGAGATATTTGCCTCAATGGTGGTGTATGCTCTGTGCTCAACAATCAGGCGGTGTGTGACTGCTCCCATACTGGTTTCCATGGGAAGGATTGCAGTGAAGGTAAGAATCTGTTTTGCCCTTTCCCAGTCAGCCTGCCCCTCAATGAAAGAGGAGGTCAAGAGATGGAGACTGCATGGCTTTTCCTCCATAGGAGTGAATCTTGCAGCTGTGCTTTCCCCTGATTCATCTCACATTTGAATCTTTTGTTAAATATTCCAACCCCTCTTCTTCCATCTCTCTGAACTATGTCACAAGCATATTTTTGCATTGTAAAGATCAAGCTGAAAATTAGGTTGAGGATCAGAATTTTGTAGAATTGTAAGGAATGCAAATAAAAAGAATAGAGGTTTGGGAAGCTGTACTGTGAATAGGTAGATGTATTTTTTACCCCACTCAAGAAAGGATAATGTTAGTTTTCAGGAAATAGACTGGCAAATTGATCTACCAATCAGGTCACTTGAAGTATTACAATTTAACTGAACAGTCCTAATAATTGGACAAAAAGGAATCATTCTAAATACAGTTGCTTATATTTAACAATTGTGTGGATTTAGTTGTTGCAAACCTCATTATCTGCATTCATGGGAAGAGAGCTTATTGGATTTATTTTTCATAACAGAGAAATTCAGTATTTCTCCTGTATAAGGCTAGATTAGTAAATATATATAACAAATTTTCTTGCCATGGGATGCCCTCAGAGCCAATATAAATAATATTGTATGAGGGAAAATAATGTATATCTTGTATGCTTGCACAAATAAAAGTAAGTTATATTATCAAAGGTGAAATGGAAAGGATTGTTTAAAATAGATACAAAATAGATAATTGGGTAGCTTCATTTAGTAAAGCCCTAGTCCTTTCTCTTTATCATTTTAATCTAATTTTACTGGCAATGGAACAAATACTTGTGGGGTATGTCTTTATATGAATTTCCTGTCTTCTTTATATGGAAGTTAGCCTCAGTCACCCAACATTTTTTTCCAATTTAACTCTTTATTTGATAAAATTTCATCTGATCTACCATTTTTCTATCATTAATCAAAAAAGCTACTCAGTCTGTTTTAATATATATTTACAGTTGCTCTTGAAATTGTAATATCTCATATGTTGTATTTTACTGGCTGCTTTATAAAGCTGGTCATTAACCAAAATTAATAAAGTATATAGCCTGTGTATTGTAGTGGTTCACGAGGAAACACTTTTGAATTGGTCTTCTGGCAGTGCTTAGTTTTAAGATGGTATGGGATTTTAAAGAATTTTTTTGCATAAATTTAGATTTTTCTATTATGATATGTGAATTTTCTTATGTAATTTATACTGATAATTAGTTGAGAGATTAGCTGAGAGATTAATTGTGATACCACCACAAAAACTATTAGAAGTAGCTTTTTAGGCAATGCTTTTAAATCCTAAAAAACCTGGAAAAATTAAAACTCTTCATTTGAAATATAAAACTATGATATCTCCATTTTAGTTTTTTTATTTCAGTTGATGCATATTAAACTCATAACCCATTTTAGAAATCAGCAACAGTTTTAATAGGGTAGGAAACGAAATTATAAGAGAAAATATATTTTCTCTTATAATTAAATATACAGTCCTAAAAGTGTTTAGATTTGCCCAGAAGCAATTTCTTTGGCTTTCTATTGGATATACAGGTAAGTGCTAAAATTGCAAAAATATATAGCATTTGCATTCTCTTAATTGCAGGGATGCTTCATCTTAAGAGTAAAAATGCCTTAGACTAATCACAGAGGAACATTCACTGTTGTATAACTATAATGTTAGATGGATGGATGGATGGATGGATGGATGGATGGATGGATGGATGGCAGGCAGGCAGGCAGGCAGGCAGGCAGGCAGAAACTTTATTAATTATGGATGACTATTACTCTCCCTTCCTTCCTATTTGTTAATGGAAGCAATTTTCAATAAGTTAAATTGCATATCAGCAACACATTGTCTGTTTATCAATTAATAATATTGAATTTGTATTTATAGGAATAAAATATCTATATATAATTTGTTGCACTCATTAAGGAGGGTAATCAGAATAGCTATTGGGTACAGTATTTTCATTTTTAGAATGTATTTTGAAGTGGTAGATTTGAAAATCTTCAGTGGATTCTACCCAGAGGTTGAGAAGCTGAAAGATGGTGTCCCTTGCATAGTGCTGTGTTTTATATGATTGCTGAAGAGTTGTTCATCAGACTTGTAATGTATTATTAATAGGTACTTAATGTATTTTGAATTTCTGGCTATTAACATTAATTGTATTTTATTAGTACATATCATATAACTATTACTATGGGTAAATCATAATTAACAAACTTACATTCCTTAAATATTTGCAAATCACCAAACACTGCATTTGTAGTATTATTAAAGTTAGCAATCCCTACCCATTTTCTGACCTTGAAAAAGCTAAATAGCATGTTGTTCCCACTTAGTAGGAAAAGTAAGGAAATCTTAGGCAGAAATTAAATTAGAAAGTTGAAAAAAAAGTAGAAACAGGTAATGGCAAATCATGTTCATACCATTGCCAGAAACCGTACATGGATATATTCATTAGTTATCAGGAATGAGAATTTTAAAAATATTTTTTCATATTTAATAAATATTATATACAGTAGTATGCAATTCATGTCTCAATTTAAAACATATTTCAGGCTATATTACCCTGACAGCCTGTTCCATTTAGTTAGTCAGATTAAAAACCTTTCTATAGAATAGGAAAAGGGTATAGCCACAAATATCTCTACATCCATAACCATTTAGTTCACTTGCTTTGAAAAACATAGCAAGGATGGTTTGGAACCAGAATGCTATAACTGTCTGCAATTTACAGCTTGTCAGATAATAGACATAATTTTTTTTTATCACATGCATTGAATTTGAAGAAAAATCCAAATGAAAAATTAAGATGCCCGAAAAACCAACATATTCTATTGCATAACCAGATCTTCAATTCTAGTTTAATTAATGGATTTGTCAATTAACCATGCTGTAAGATAACAATGAAAACTCATAATATTCTCACATTTTCAAACATTTAATATATGAAGCATTTCCTTGATAAAATATCAAAAGATGCCTAACAAAATGACCCATTTTTAGTAAATTAAAATATTATTTCTGACAATGCAAATCTAGGTTTCAGCCTCCTGGTATAGCAACAGTCCAAGTTTAGAAAAAGAATTGATGAAAATCAGCTAGTAGAATGGCTAATTTTAATCAAAGACAACTGAAATTCCTAATTACTAAACTAATAATTCCTTCATTACTACACAATATTTAATGTGGATCACTGAATAAAAGGCTTTAAAAAAGCAAAATAAACCAATGGTTTATTCCATGTGAGGAAAATAGATAGGTATGAAAAGAATATTAGTGAAAAACATATATTAGCTGTGATAGAGATGAGTTCCATACTAAAGATGATTAGGATTTTTAAAGCAAAACCAATTTCATATAAATTTATGAAGTCATATCATCAATACAGTATATATTTCTAGATGTTATATCTCATAAACATAAATATGATGTGTAGAAAGGGACCTCAAAAGGAGAATTAAAACATTTATGAAATTGGAAAGTCTTCATTTTTCCTTTATTTTTTTAAAAAAGAATGAATAACAGTTAATCAGATTTATAGAATTTTGTTCAAGGCATATACCTGATTTAAAAAAAAAACTTCCACAAGGTATGGCATGGAAGACAATAATGAAATATATATTTTGATGTAAACCTTGTGACTTAAGTATATACTTGGGTTTAATGTTGGAACACAAGGGCAAAAGGAATGAGGTTTGCACTATGACATATTATGTTTTGTTATCATTAAGAACAGATGCCTAAAAGAAGATGAGGGTTGTTCCCTCCACAAAAAAATGTATGTGGATTGGATGGTAATCGTGCATTCTTTAATGAGAATAGAAAAAGTTGTTGAAAAGAAATAAATATAAAGTGAAAATAATTAAAGAAACTGCTGCAACAGCACTGAATGCCTTTAAAAGGTGAACCTTAAGATTACTAGCTGTTTGGGTGGGACTGCATGGATGAGGCTATACATACCTGCCAAATTTAACTCTTTCTATACTGTCCAATAATAAAGCTTTTCTCTATTTTCTTTACATCTCTGTTCATTACTTCTTTCTTTTGCCTCATTTTATCCACTTTGTCCTGAGCTTCCTTTGTCTTTCCCTTCCTAGGCCAGTTAACAGATTCTCTCCCACCCCTTTTTGGGGTGTTTCTGATAAAAAAAAAGGAGGTAGAATGTTTCAACACTTCTGTATGAAGAGCTTGCATGTGAAATGCAGAATAGTAGATATATGGAATATTTTGTTTTACTATTAATATTAGCTATTGATTCAGTTAATATAAGGGCATTGCGTTTACATATGCATACATATGTATGGTAGACACATATCCACATGCATATGTAGAAGGGTGTCACATACATATATTTATGTCGATTGTGAAAATTTCTGGGACTGGTTTCAGTTGTATTGGGCTATTTTGGGATGGCAAGATATAGAATCTAGGATTCTTTCTGAGAGGATTTTTCCCCTTTGCTTATTCTTCTATCTCAGTGGTAGTCAACCTGGTGCCTACCACCCACTAGTGGACGTTACAGCTTTCATAGTGGGTGGTAGGGTTTGCTGTAACTGCTTTATAAATTTTATAAAGTAAAGTTACTTCCTTACTTTATAAATCACCACTACTGTGGAACCAGTGGGCAGTTATAAAATTTTACTACTAACAGAGATACAAAAGTGGGCGGTAGGTATAAAAAGGTTGACTACCCCTGCTCTATCTATTTTGCTTTTATTTATTTATGGATTTCTTTCTGATGGTTGCTTAAATTGAGAATAGTCTTTCTTTCAGATAAATAAGGCAATGGATAGATGGATTATCCCATTTCTTTTTCTCACAATACCAGCATTTCACAATCCTAGCAAATCCAATGAAACAATTTGGCAAGATTTCATAACAGATTTTTTAAAAAGTCATTCTTCATATCTCTCCTTAATTCACTAAGATCTTTTCTTGCCAGACAC